CACAAAGCAGAACCAGATCAAATACCAGAAAGAAGAAGAATGACGATCGGATGGAACCTGCGAATTCTGTGAATCTCTTGGATCGAGACCATTGGACATGCAGCCCATATCGATATATCACACCCTATGGGCATCTTTACGAATTACGGTAGGTACAAAAAGGTTTATTTTATTCTAAAAGACATCTTGCCCTGGAGTCGGCCCAAGAGGTAATCGAAGTAGAGGGTTGCAGAATAAGAAAATGTCACTTTTTACCCCTTGAACGAAACTGTTTATTATCTCTGCCTCTGCGCATCAATAAAAAAATGTTCTAAATCAGTAGTTACTGATTTTACTATAATCTACGACTATTTAAAAATCATTACCCAACTCACAGCTTGAGTAAAACGATCTAAAATTTTTTGTAATGGTCACCCTGTACAAGATAACGGTTAACCTTAGATGTGAACAGGTTAAGATTGCAGTCAAAAAAAAAAAAAAAAATAAACAAATAGAAAAAGCAGTTCCACAAAGCAGATGTTCGTGTGAAAAAGCTACTCGGGTCTGTAAAATAACCACAACGGCAATGGTAGTAGTAATTTTCAATTACTTTTTCACGTACCAACGAGATCTTTCTTTCTATGTGCCGTGTCCTTTCAGGACGTAGGCGATCATGGCTCTCCACCTCTCTCTATCCCTTGCAGTTCTCAACAAGTTCCAGCCCCCTGCCACCTCTCGCAGACCACGTTCTGTCATCCATTTGCTTAAGGCCGCTAGGTATGTCATGCATTGTTTTCCCTTGTCTCTCTTTCCCTCTATTCGACCCGTGAGTATCAGATTCTGCAGGCCCTCCTTCCTCATGACTGATCTTAATTATAAGCTTCCTCCTTGTTTACATCCTCTCCAAGACCTCATCGTTGCTCACACGCTCGGTCCATGATATCTTTAGCACCTTCTGTGGAACCACAACTCCGTCGCCTCGAGTCTCTTCAACTTTTAGGAAATCGTCCTACATTCGCTACCGTAAAGAAGGACAGATGTCACGTAACAGCTCAGTATTCTTTTCTTCGTTACTAAAAAAATCCTACAAATACAAAGATACACTTGGCCCTTGGACACTCAGCTGTTTATTCTACAAAACCTCGAATTAACGGTCTCTGAACCAACGAACTCCGGATTTAACGGACAAAATCCGCAGAAATGTCAGTGTCTGGCTGGAACTCAAAAAAATCCGTTAGTTCCAGAATTGGCCGCTGTCGTTTACTGGCGCAATCAACGGACATAGATTTTAGTTCTGAGAATAGCCGTTGTTGTTTACTTAAGCGCACGGTATGTTTTTTTTTTTTTTGTCAAGTCCTTTACTATGGCTTCCAGTCGTAACGGGGGTGAGAAAAAGAAAGCGCACTAACTTTAGTATTGGTAACAAATTGCATAACATCGGAAATATCTGCCTGTGGAAATCCCCCATTATCTAATGAGATCTTGATTTCTACACTATACGCCTTCTCCCTCCTCTGACAACAGGACGGATTGGCGTGGTCAATTGACGGTTTGGCCAGGAATATACCTGAGATTGTCTTCGCATTGGTGGGTATAGAGTTCGATGTGCTCGCGTGTTTCGACTTGGGTGTTGACTTGGGGTTGGTGTTCTTTAATATTATTTTGTATTGGGCCAAACTGAATCTACGGTGTCGTCAATTTCCATTTCTTCTGGATTATTATTCGCGGTATTTGGTTTATGTTGTACATTGGGGGGGGGATAAGGGATTATAATCCGTGTCGGAGAATTGACCGGGTCGCTGCAACCAGAAACCAGGTTCTGGCCTAGATGGGGTTAATCTATTTTCCGTGTTGCTATCTTGAACCGGCTGAAAATCGGGGTGTCATGAGGTTGAGGGACCCGTCCCTGTGTAGAATGATGTGGGACGTCAATAACTGGGTGGATCTTGCGGAGGAAGCGACGGTTGCGTAGAGTTATTCCATTGCTTCCATCCACCTGCACACGGTGGTGCCGTTTAACGAGTATCTCCGCGATTCACTCTATTTTCGTCTACCGATCTTGATTCTGGATCTGAATAGAACTGCCAATTTGTAATTCCCGTTTACCTATCTTGTATCTTTCCCGTACGACAACAGAGGTGGTATTTGATAACACGGCATGCTGTCTGTCACTTTTCTGCAAGTATTACGCATAGCACTTTTCAGTACGTTTCCGTATTTCTCTATTCTTAAGGAACCAGTCGTATTCTTGGGAATCAAAAAGTGGTCCCGCGTCGCAAGAAAGTTCTTCAGGTGCACCATATATGCAGAACCAAGTTCCCAGAGTGATGCATACTACCCTGGTCTTTCAAGATGACATTAGGGTCACTTCCACCCAGCCAATATACCGATCTCCTTATAGAACATAATTTCTATCAAGTAGGTCGAAAAAGTTTGTTGGAATGGGAATTCAGGATTAGACAGCGGGATTAAGGGCTCCTTAGGCTGTGATAGAGTTACATATCTGGCATTGAGCTCTGGTCTTTCGGACGCTGGCATCCACAACAGGTCAAAATAGGTGTTGTCCCGCATTTGCTAGCATGCCAGTTACACCCTTGTGTGCATAATGAAGGGATTCAAGTACTTCCGTAGAAAGTTGTCGAGGTAAAATGATTTTGGTCGTTACTCCTTCGTTAAAACCGAGAGATCACCGACGGGGGTTCATGGCGACATTTGGAGAAACTAGTTCGTATATATTCCGTCAGAGAAATTCTTCAATGGCTGACTCGACAAAGAAGCTATTCTATATAATAGCCCTCCATCTGGGTTATGCTCGTATGTGGACATGAATGCAACCGGATTGATTCGACTGCATCAATTGTAGCAGCCTCGTAGAATGACTGTCTACGCTTCCGTTGTATATATGCAGATAATATTTGGGGACGCTCTGTCGAGTCCTCTGATGGGATCCATGCTGGGTAACGGGAAGCATAGTCTGATGCAGCATTAACTTTTCCAGGAAGGTGTTTAATGCTGGATTTATACATTAGTGCGCGTTCCTTGAAATTAAAGAGAAGCAGGTTCCTTATGTTCTCAAAGGCCCGATCTGAGAAAAAATTTATGAGTGGTCGATAGGCAACAATCACTTGCATCCCAATATAAACATCCCACATGATTCTAGTTTCATGAGTCTAGGGTGTGTTTTTATGCTAAAATCATTGTAATAATTTTGTATGAAATTTGTGTGGAACGGATTCCTATATATTAGCAAGTTCAGCCACAGTACGATTAGATCGCCTTTACTTTCTTTTGCTTTTCTTAGGAGCTGAATTATAATGCTAATATGCTCCAGGTAACCTGGGTTGCCTGCAATCACTCCCTTCAGTACTGAAGGTTCTATGTAATTATTGGTACCGAGATAATGCCGAAGTCGTTAAGACAGGATGCTGAAGAAGATTTTGTTGTCAGTGTCCAGCAAAGAAATCGTTCTGAACTGTTCAATTCCTTTCGAGCTTTTTCTTCTGGAGTAATCCACATTGCATTAGAAAACCTCCACTGCTATGCAATTCTACCCCTCCTTCAAATTGCTTTTAATATCTTTTAATATCTTCCAGAGATATACCTGAATATTCGAATATCTCTTTTATTCCAATAGTTTTTCCCCCATTTTCGTTCTTTATTGCTTAATAGAAGTCTTTTGACTTCCATTTTATCTCTTTTTTATTTTCTGTCACCAACTATGGGATTATATGTGAAATAATATAAAGTATCTGTCCACCATCTTGGCTGATTTCTTTTCTCTTTTCATATCGGTTAACAAAATAAGTGGCGTTCTTGCTTTTATTTAGTTACTCTCATTTTGAAACAAATGCAACAATTAAAATATCTGACAAACCTTTTAACACAGGGCGCAAAGTGCTACATCAAAATTCGAAGCTAAGTAAAATATTAAGAAACAGAAATATGGTTAGAAAAAAAGAAAAAAGTACTGAACTGTTCATTATTTACATTATTCGGACTATTGTCCTCATCTTTGTCGCCATATTTATCACAACGTTTCGGCCGTTGTGCGCTCCGGCCTTCTTCAGGTGGTTGGAATGTCGAACTGAACCCTTTATTTCGCTCACCGGGGTAGACTGTTCTAGTTCCACGTGCCATGTTTGATGAATGTCAGTTATCATTTATCTTCTGTTAAATTCCCTCTGAAAGTTCTCCACTGCCTTAACCGGGTATTGAACTCACACTCTTTGGGTCCTGTCACTGGATCTAACCAACGCCTTTATCCTTAAGGACACATGGCACAGTGGGTAAAGGCGTTGGTTAGATTTTTTACTTATCCTTGTATGATCAAGCAGTCCGCTTTGAAAGTTGAGTAGGAGGCGTTGAGAAATGTTTGTGAACTTTCTTTAATTTTGCAGTGAACGCCTCCATTTTCAATGTGTTTGTCGCTATTAGACATCATGTTTGTGGAAAATAATGCTGCTGCCTTGTCGTCATGGAAAAATTTGAGAAAGGCCTTTGTCCTGCAGTGGACGGGCGATGGATGTTTCTGCTGCTGCTGCTGCTGCTGCTGCTATTGTTGATGACGAATTGCCTCTGCCTCGTCTGAAGGAATAGACATGTTAAAAGTGTCAGAGAATAAGAAAGAGCAGGTGAATAATAAAAAGAAACAAAATGCAAAAATAAAAGACAAACATTACATTAAATAGAAAATAAATAATGACTGGAGTCGAAAGAGGCAAACTCAATGAAGGAAAGAGAGAGAGAGAGAGAGAGAGAGAAGTGGGGTTGCAAAAAGAAAACGAAAGACAGAAATTAAAAAAGAGGCAAAAGAAGAATCAAAATGTGTCAGAAGAAATCATTATTTAATTTTAATAGTATTTCATATATTTTATTTCGATTCTATTTTTTCTGTTTATTCCACGGCCATTAGCTGAGCAGCATCTATAAGAGAAAAAGAATTTCTTGTGGAATAAATATTTGTATTCATCACAGACCAATGTTATTAGGCTTGATCTGGCATTGTTGCTTCCCTGTGCCTTTTCTATAAATACGTTCATAAATGTTTTGATGAACTTTCCTCTCTGATGCCTAGACCTTATAAATTTAAGCGTAGAACTAAATTGTCGGCAAGCTATCATCATTTTAGAATTGAAATGGCTAATATAACCGTAAGTACAATGCTAACTG